GTTAAACAAGCACTGGGACTCCAGGGCAAACTTTAAAAATCATAATATTTACAGACCCCTCCTTCCCCTCACCCCACGTGCTCTTTATTTCCCTGCAATTACTGCTCATTTGAAGACATTTTGCTTTGGCATCTCAGCCTGTTGTGATGTCAATGACTGAGCCACCCACTGCCCCCTGCCACCACAGCACTCCCAGCATGAGGGGACACCGGACCCTCTGCTTCCTCTCACACCACGATGGAGAGACACCTGTGATGCCATGAATGACACTGCTCTGCCAGGACCACAGCCCCTGCCCAGCCCCTCCCAGCAGAGCTGGGGATGCCACTGCACAGAGCCCAGACCGGCTGTCCCAGGCAGGCTGGCTCCGTGCACTGCATGGGACAGGGAATAGGGACCCTTAAGCACCACTGCCCCAGAGCCAGTGTGGTGTGGAGAGTTGTGCCTGGAGCTCCCACGGGAACTGGCACCCCACGCTGCCCGTGCCTGCCCGGCTGAGCTCCGCGAAGCCACGTGGTGCCAACGGAGCCTCAAGCGGAAGCTCCGGTTCACTCCTGCAGCTGTGGTGGGTCCTTAAGTCCCTGGGCAGAATTAGCACCAAAGCAGGAGGCTCTGCCAGCCCCGATGAGCTCCAGAGCGGCGGCAGCACCGACATCCCTCATGACAAAGCACCTTACGCCTGAAAGCTGCTTCCTTGAGCAACAATGAATTTGCATTATCCTCTTCCTCCTCCCCATAAGCTCCTTTCCCCACACCCCCCATAGCCTGGTTCTGCTCACTGTTCCCTTCTCACAAATCCAGGGGAGCACAGCTCCCTGGAATGTGTAATCTCCAACAGACTGCTGCAGCCCCCAGCCCCTTGCCATCTCTGGGAGCGGGTGGAAGGGGCTGGCACCACTGGCTTCAGCCCCAGTTATGGGCCGGGATGCCACAGGAAGGCCCCTGGATGGTACAGAGCCTGACACAGCCCAGCTCCTGCAGTGCTGTGGAGGGACCTTGAGGTCCCCATGGGGACCCTGAGATCCCCATGGGGACCTCAACAGCTTCGGTCATCAACTTCAAGCCTGAGATAAAGTGTGGGGACCACCCCACGAGCATCCGATCAGACCCTGGGTGAGCACCTACAGGGCACAGACCCAGTGAGAGGTGGCTGCTGCTCCACACAGACGTGTGACCTGAACATCCTGCTGCCACCACAGACTCATGCCCCTGCCTAACACAGCCCCTAGGCAGGCTCCAGAGTCCACTGCCCACCACCATGGCACAGCTGGGGCAGGGGACTGGTTCTGGGCATGGGAGGCAGCTTCTGCCTGCGGCCAGCACTGTGTGGGGCTTGAAGGCAACAGCAGGGAGGCAGAAGGGTTGTTTGGAGGTGCCCTCGGCAGGGCACAATGTCTGGGCAGGGACATTAGCCCGCTGCTCCGTTCCTCCTCAACACCAGGCCTGCCTCCAGCACTGCAGCCCGTCCCCTGCCCGCTGCCTGCGGCTGTGGGCTGCGGGTGCCTGGCCAGAAGGGAAAGCTCTCCCTGACCGGCAGCACAGCCAGGGAGCAGCAACAGTGAGAAATTACCCCAATCCTGAGCAAAACCCCGGCAGAGAGGGAGGGAAGTGCCCACCCTTGGCGGAAGTACCTACCCAAAAATACATCATCATGTTGGTGGCCGGGTGTTGAGCTGCTCTGTGGGGTCGGCAGGAGGGCAGTGGGCTGCTCCAGATGCTGGCTGCGCTGGCCGCCGCCCCTCCTGGGTGGGCTCTGTCCCCTCCGTCTGTCCGTCTGTCCGGCTCCAGCGCCCACGGCCAGCGCTCCCGGAGCCCTGCGTGCTCGCCTCCCTCCCTGCGGCGCTCACGCCGCGGCTCAGAGCCGCTGTTCGACCTCCAGCATGCTGCTGCGGGAGGGCAGGGGCTGGAGGGCAGCCCTGGCAGGCAACAGCTTATCCACCTCAGGGAAAAATGGGAGAGGAGGAATAAAAATGAAATCCTCTCTGGCGTCCTCAAGAGCAAAGGGAAGGACGACCGTGAGAGGGGAACCGACCCCAGCGGTGAGAGGGTGCTGGGGTGGGGGTCCGGGGCCAGGCTGGGTGT